TCACTGGTGGGAATTGGTGGTGTTTAAAAGTTTGGCTTCCAAATTTGATCCTCAGTAAACACTGAGCAAATGTGGAATCTATGATTCTAACAGAAAAAAAAAAAAAATCAAGGTGTGGAGCTGCTCAAATTCTAGGTGTCTAGAGTGGCTACACCTATTTGAGCACGTGACTCCACATTTATTTGGATCAAATGGATAAGTTCCTACTTGTCCATGGGTGAGACCATATTGGCAGGTTAGTGGTAAACTGGGGGAGATGCTGCATTTGGTCAGAATGAAAGGACTGAGCCTGAGGCCCTGGGGTGGGGGCACTCAGAGGAGGCCTTTCATCAATTGGCCTAGGGCAAAAGGCTAGAAGGTGGGTTTCACCTAGTGTTGAGGGCCCACCCGGCAATGTTTTATTTATTTTTTAAATATGTTTTTATTGATTTCAGAGAGGAAGGGAGAGGGAGAGAGAGAGAAAGAGAGAGAGAGGAGAGAGAGAGAGAGAGAGAGAGAGAGAGAGAGAGAGAAATATCAGTGATGAGAGAGAATCATTGATCAGCTGCCTCCTGCATACCCCGCACCGGGGATCGAGCCCACAACCCAGGCATTTGCCCTGGACTGAAATCGAACCCAGGACCTTTCATCCTGCAGGCCCACGCTCTATCCACTGAATCAAACCAGCTAGGGTCCAGCAATGTTTTAAATTGTTCTTAAAGAAATGCCATTCATTGTATCTCTCCTGTACTAGGAGTGGAGGAAATTGGGGGCCGGGTGGAGGGGGGCGGGCGAAGAAATCTTTTGTTGGTAAATGAAGAAAAACAGTCTGTGACTGGAGTAAAAAGGTATTTTTTTCTTTTCTGTAGTCTGAACTTCAAATAATGTTTGAGCAGCTGGAGCTCAGATTCCCGTAACAATGTTCATCACCAGAAACCTCTAAAGGGTGCAAAAAACAGCAACCCTTCCCCCTCCAATCCCCTTCTTGACTGCCCCCCTCCCCTGTCCACCCGACTCCTGCATCCCTTCCCTCTCTGGCCTTCCCCACCACCTCCAGAGACTCAAATGTGAGGTCATGTGCATGCAGCATCCCTTCCCACGGGACCCTCCATCCTTCCTGTCTCAAGGGGCTGCAGAGGAGGGACAGGGGAGAGTCCATTACCTTCTGCCTCTGGAACACGTGAGTGAGGGGAGCCACCTGGCAGTCCTTGTGTGCCCCAAAGATCTTGCACAGAGAGCAGGTGGGCACCTCACAGTTTAGACAGTAGATGTTGATGCGCTCTTCTTCATGCTCCTCGCACCTGGGCTGGTCGGACTTCTTTTCTGGTCTGGGAGGAGGTAGCAGATAAATGTGTCAGCTCCCAATGGGGCAGAGCTGAGATGGGTGATCAGCATCGCAAATCCCAGCTAGCCCCTGCACTCAACAGCAACCCATTCCAGAGGGCTCCCAGAGCCCTCCAAACTCAGTTTCCTTACAGTGATGTGCCTGGGGTGGTGGAGAATCTGATCTGTAGCATTTGCCAACTTCCGTGGTGTTGAGTAGTCCCAGCATGGCAAATTTCAAGTTATAGGATGTGTGTGTGTGTGTGTGTGTGTGTGTGTGTGTGTGTGTGTGTAAGCGATCAACCAAAGACTTGTATGCATGCATATAACCATACCAATGGACACAGACAGGAGGGGGTGAGGCATGTGCTGGAAGGGGTGGGGGGTTGAGAGGTCAATGGCAGGGGAAAAGGAGACATATGTAATACTATATGTAATACTTTAAACAATAAAGAATTAAAACAACAACAAAACTAGTGCAATTCCTGAAAGTTAACACTGGGCTCATGCATTAAGAGCATGCTCCAGCACTGTCTCCACTGCCCACTATTTTCAAGAGAACTCCTGCTATTAACCCAGAAAGTTAAATGTAAATAACTTCCTGAAGACTTGGCAGTGGTTAGGAGTGGGCAGTATGTGCTCAGGGAATGTGAACAATTATACTGAATAGGCAATAAAAAAAAATGCAAAATGCTGTTCTGGGACATGGTGAGCATTGGAAGTACAAATCTCACAGGTAATCCCCAAGTTTTAGTTTTCCCAACAGGTCAGCACCAGCTAAAACTTTTCAAGCTACAGCAGGTAATAATGGAGCATCGGATTTGTAAATGCTAGAGAGAAGATGAACAAGCAATAAAGAAACCATGAGGGAGGGGTGACAAGTCATTGCTACTTATGGGTAACCTGTTAGCTGTGGAATCGCCTGTAGTGTCCCAAATTCACAGCGCATGATAGCACCCTGTATATTCCCCTAACCGTCAGCATGGCTTAGATGTTATGATCAAGATAAAAATTGCACCAAGTTGCCCTAGCTGGTTTGGTTCAGTGGACAGAGTGTTGGGCCACAGACTGAAGGATCCCAGGTTTGATTCCCATTGAGGGCATATGCCCAGCTTGTGGGCTTGATCCTGGGGGTGGGGTGGGGGGTGTGCAAGAGGCAGCCAGTCAATGATTCTCTGTCATCATTGATGTTTCTCTCTCTCTCTCTCTCTCTCTCTCTCTCTCTCTCTCTCCCTTTTACTTTCTCTCTGAAATCAATAAAAACATATTTTAAAAAAATTACACCAAGTTGTAGTGCTTTAGGCTCCCTCTGGTGAGTATGGTGGGAGGTGTGGATGTAGCCAACTCACACAAAAATCTGGAATTTTTATATATCTTATCTAAAGACTGAGGCTGTTGATAGGTATTTGAAAAATTTAAATACAAACCCAAAACCTTGCCGAACATATGGTTATTTAGAAGCATGTCAGATTTGGAACTGAATATTTTTTAGCTGTTATCAAGATCTACTTTAAAAAAACTGCAGGTTTTGATGGGCCATGATATCAATATAGGGGGTTATGACCAGCATTGTTAAAATAAAATAGAATAGCTGGGTTCATCTCATTCTGTATATCTCAGGTTATTCCAGAGTCACCTAATATATCCTAAGATTCAGGATTCTGAGCTGATAAGGCTTCCAGCTTCTAGGGAACAACTGGGTTTCTGCCCAAATATCTGTCTGAGCCCTTTGTGCAACCTGTGGTTTTGTTACCAAATAAAAATGTCCCAACGGCAAGTCTCAAGTTTAAGAAACAACAGCATAAAAAGAATTCAATAATCACAGAAATACCCTTAGTACACTCAGCTATGAGCTTCATTGCTGGACATTTGGTTCATTGCTTTTATACAATTTGCTCACCTGGACACTATTTTTGACACATGTACCACACAGACTTTATAGTTAACTAATGTGTCTTGTAGTTTTACTAATGCTACAAGTTTTAACATCTCCTCTTCTCTGGACTTCATAACAGCTATTGTTATTTCACATGTTTCAAGGTCTTGCTGTGGCAAGTAGAAAAATGGAAAATTATTGCAATAACTAGAACATGTAGGAAGGTACTGTAGTAGGCATGGAATCAGTTATTATATAAACTTCCTTAATAACTGGTTGATAACTCATTGGCTGGTTAACTTTTTTAAAGAGATAGTGTGTGTATTTGCATTTTAAATTAATGAAATACAATGAAATTCAAGCAACAGTAACAATAGGTCTTTCCTTCTTCTCAAGAGACTTTTGACTCAAGGGAAATAGTCGACTACATATCTCTGCAATATGTCATCAGCAATCATTCTTCCCCAGTTCCATCTATATCCTGGTGCTATCGAATTTAGTTTTGAATCATAAGCAGAAACTAATAGCTATAGTGACTATACTAATTATATGTTAGATTTATAAAGCAGCTTTCCTTCTAAGAGTGCAAGGCTCTCAGAAGCAGGCAGATGTTCCATAAATACATGCCTTCTAATTAGAATCACAATGAGGTCATTTCTAAATGGTCTTAATATTGCTATCAAGCTTTGTGGACCCGCCTGACCTGCATACAATTGAAGGAGGGCTCTTCATACCATGCCTTCTAGGAATGAATTCTCACAGTGTTGTCTTTAGGAAAAGAACTCTGTAGCCAATGTGATTTGATGAAGAAGAAGCCTCCTCCCCTTTAAATGATCAGATGTCTATACTGGATATCAATCAATCAATAGGTAAATGTTAATAGTATGCAGTAAATACAATCTAGAGATAGGGAAACATAACCTGAACTCCATCTTTATTTTTCTCCCATGTCTCTACACATTAAGTTGCATAAGGCCAGGACTATTATCTTGCCTTGCAATTTCCAGAGTCAATTCCATGACATGTTAGAGAATTTTGTTTTTATTATCATCTAGATAATTTTAAGATGAGACTGTCTGAACTAGGAATGGACTATTGGAAAGGTGCCATTTTTGTAATTTCCTATAAAGTTTTATGCTATGAATTTTTGGCTATGTTGAATCTGGAGCTACAAAGATCCTGTGAAGTACAGAAATGTCCACACTGAATGTAATACAAAGCTTTGGGTGGAGCAGCATTATGCCTCTTTCAATGTCACCATTTGGAGTGGATTGGTGTTGAATTACTTCATTCTTAAATTGATACAAAAGCATGGTCACTATCTCCCTTCTCCCTTCCCATGAGCAACTCTCAATCCCACTGGAAAAGACTGACTTGGAAAAACATTTTGCTATGAAGCAATTAGCCTGTGATTGCTAAACAAGCATTCAGTGTAGTGACTCACTAAAACAACCAACCAAATAAATAAAAACAAGCTTCCAATGGGTTTGATACATGGAAGAACTATACCTGGTGGACTCCTGCTTGTAGATGTCAATGATATTTTCCACCAGCAGGTTCCTCTGAAGTCCATATATCCCATGTCTGTCCAAAACCACTTCATGCCTACAGGATGGGCAGCGGAATCGGCCTCCTGATGCCACCGTGGTGCCTCCTCTTGTGGGCAAGTACGGGTTAGAGGCCTGTTCTTGCCAAGCAAGAAAAGAGGAATTGAGTAATGCCATGGGTAGCTTTTCTGAGACGCCTCTTCATTCTCTGTTACTACAAACATCAACTTCTACTTTAAGCTTGCCATAAGATAATCCCTTAGGGCCTTATCGGCAAGTAGTCCTAAAAGACAGGCCCAGCTCCCACCCACAGTCAACTGCAATGTATCATTTTCACCGTGAGGTTATTTTCCATCCAGTGTTTTCATAACCGAAAGTTCCTAGCCAGAAACTCCAACATTAATGTATTGGATAGTAATTCATTTACAAATTTGAAACAGATTCCATTTAAAACACACACACACAAATTTGATTCGTAGCATTGAAATAAGAGGAGGCTAACAGCAAAGCACAAAGCAAATCATTAATTTTTTTTTCTTGAAAATGAATGCAGCCTTTTAAAGTTTTCTAAAGGAATTCACCTCAAAGTTAAGCACTTGATTCCAAGGAATCTATCCACCCCGACATTCCAAACAAACTTACCTGGAAGATATCACTGGCACATTTCCTACACAGGTTATGCTGACAGGGAAGAATGACCACAGGCTTCGTGAACATCTCCAAGCAGATGGGACAGATGAGCTGCTTCTCCAAGTTGTCCATGGTCTGCTGCTCTTTGGAAAAAGACTTATAATTCAAAGATGCGCTCATCTCCTAGCCGTCACGGTGTGCACCGCCAGGGAAGGGGTGCTCCGAATGGTCTCTACAAGGGTTTCCTGGAAATAATTCCAAGGATTGTGTGATCAAGTGTCCTTCATGTTTCTTTTGGTGGAGGACATTGTTTCAGGCCCAGGTTTGGAGCGGGAGCTGGGGCTGTTTTTAGCAGCTGGGGTCACGTGACAGAAGGCTGACTTGTCCATATAAGCCAGTGACAGGAGGACAGATTCTGACAGGTGACAGAGAACAGGAGCCAACATTCCTACCCCAGGGAGTGAAAAGAGTGAGTGGGAAGGAGGATTACACACTCCATTTAGATGGGGTTGTGAGGAGAAGGAGGTCGAAGCAGACAGTTGTCAACAACAAATGCGAATGAGTATGCTGAGGAGTCACAGAGCCCTGCCCTCTGTGAGTCTTTGGTAAGGACATGGTGACGGGTTTCTCCAGGACCGGGAAAAATGCAGCCCAGGCAAGAGTATAACTGTATAGTGAATGCCATTTCTGTCTTGAGAACTTAGAAAGTGAGTTATCCAAGTACCATGATCATATCATCTCAGGTGAAAATATACCTTGAAAATCATTATCCCAGCTTCACGAGAACAATCATTGAAAATACTTGCTCAGTGTTAAATATTACATCTTCACAAGGGTTGTGGTATGGAAAACATTCTAACTTAAAAACTGATTTCAAATCTTTTCACTATAAAAGTGTCTACAAAGTAAAAAAAAAATCAAATAACAGTGGATGTTTCAATTATTTTTAAAAGCTGTGTAATAAAACTCCAGTGTGAACAGGAACAAGACAGGGATGCCCACTCTCACCACTCCTGTTCAACATAGTACTGGAAGTATTAGCCATTGCAATTAGGCAAGAAGAAGAAATAAAAGGCATCCAAATTGGAAAAGAGGAAGTAAAACTGTCCTTATTTGCAGATGACATGATATTATACATACAAAACCCTAGAGACTCCATCAAAAAGCTACTAGACTTAATACATGAATTTGGCAATGTAGCAGGATACAAAATTAACCCCAAGAAATCTGAGGCATTTCTATACACCAATAGTGAACTTTCAGAAAGAGAGATTAGAAAAACAATCCCATTTACCATCGCACCAAAAAAATTAAGATACCTAGGAATAAACTTAACTAAAGAGGTTAAAGACCTCTACTCAGAAAACTACAAACTTAACTATAAACTTAACTAAAGAGGTTAAAGACCTCTACTCAGAAAACTACGTTGAAAAAAGAGATAGAGGAAGACATAAACAGATGGAAGAACATACCATGTTCTTGGATTGGTAGAATCAACATCATTAAAATGTCCATACTACCCAAAGCAATCTATAAATTCAACGCACTTCCCATTAAAATACCAATGGCCTTCTTCAAAGATCTAGAACGAACTCTCCAAAAATTCATCTGGAATAAAAAAAGACCCCGAATAGCTGCAGCGATCCTGAGAAAGAACAAAGTAGGTGGGATCTCAATGCCAGATATCAAACTGTATTACAAAGCCACTGTTCTCAAAACTGCCTGGTACTGGCACAAGAACAGACATATAGACCAGTGGAATAGAATAGAGAGTCCAGAAATTAGCCCGAACCAATATGCTCAATTAATTTTCGACAAAGGAGGCATGAACATACAATGGAGCCAAGATAGTCTCTTCAATAAATGGTGTTGGGAAAATTGGACAGATATATGCAAGAAAATGAAACTAGACCACCAACTTACACCATACACAAGAATAAACTCAAAATGGATAAAGGACTTAAATGTACGACAGGAAACCATAAAAATTCTAGAAGAATACAAAGGCAACAAAATCTCAGACTTATGCCAAAACAATTTCTTCACTGATACAGCTCCTAGGGCAGTTGAAACTAAAGAGAAACTGAACAAATGGGACTACATCAAAATAAAAAGCTTCTGCACAGCAAAAGAAACCATCAACAAAACAACAAGAAAACCCACCTCTTGGGAAAACATATTTGCCAACGTCATATCTGATAAGGGCTTAATCTCCAAAATTTATAGGGAACTCATACAACTCAACAAAAAGAAGATAAACAATCCAATCAAAAAATGGGCAAAGGATCTAAATAGACACCTTTCAAAAGAGGACATTCAGAAAGCCAAGAGA